TTTATTATATTATACCTGTATATCTTTAGTTCATAACGGTGAAGCAAGAGTGCTGTGAGGGGCTCGGGGAAAGACCCAACACGTATTGTGTTCCGGCACAGACCGATCCCTTCCTTCACACAAGACACCGATGAATTACGATGATCATGAGCAATAAACATAATATTCTCTACTTGTATCTCAACTTTTGTCAGTTTTTGAGTTATGAGTTTGTGTAGAGTGTAACGTGTTTTCTTGTCCCGATGTGTTTGAGACTACCGGTCTCTGCCTGTTAACTAATGGTTTTACGGCTCTATTGGCCCGATGTGGTCACATGACCCCCCCCCCCGGGCTATCACACGTGAAGGTGGGGATACAGATGGGCCACTCAGGAATCCCAGTGCACATTTTGATTACTTCATTTCGACCAAAGCTGGGTGTATAAGTCATTCCTGCTCCCAGCCATCGGTAGCAATCAGACATTTATTTTCTATGACTAATTGCTGGATGTTCCTAGAATGTATTTCTTTTTCTGAACGTAAACGCGACTGCTGTCATGACCAAATATGGATGTAACAGTGGCGAATGTGATAATTATTTCCCGACGCGGTGGAATCAGGCGCTCGTCAATTGTAAGGCATAAAGTGGGGTTATTGCTGAAGGAGCTGGGGTCGCTTTATTTCAGAGGTAGAAGAAACGAGAAAATGGCCGTTAGAGTTTGTTGACTGCCATAGTTTGAATGAGAGTCCTCCGAAGATTTGTATTTAAAAAAAGAAATTAGATTTCCATTTTCTCAAGGTTGTTCCGTAACATCTACACAGACGTCTTGTTGTCTGGACGGAACAGCTGCTGAGACAAACAATCAAAATTCAATACAAACTGTCCAAACCGGCGGGAAAATGTGTCTTTGGACGGCGCCTGTTCTTTCACCCCGACCAAAACAAGCGCAGCCTCTCTCTCCCTTCACGGTTCACAGTTCACACAGTTTACATGGGCGCCGTGGCGTACTATCTATGTTACTAACTAGAAATAATAGAGAGAACTTTCTACAACTAGATCTACAAACAAATGTATTATTAAATAGATAGAGATAGAGATATAGGCTTAAAAAAAGAACAAAAAATAAAACCTTTTATTTCTTCATCAACACTATATCTACGAAGTGGTTTATTTCTTATTGACTGAATCAAAGCGTAGATCTATAGGGCCTATCGAAATTATAAAAAGAAGTATGAAAAGATGTGGTATCATGGGAACCTCCCAATCACCCCACCCTTTCTTTCCTCCCGAATCTCAATACCCC